AGCATGATGACTTAAGTGGTAGCGACAAGTTAATAATAAATAATACTAATCCTTGCATTTGATATAGCGCTTTTCACTTCTTCGAGATGTCTCAAAGCGCTTCACAGAATATACCGTAAAGTGAATTGACTGTATATTTGAGGGCGAAACGCGGCAGCCAATTATGCACAGCATTGTCCCACAAACAGTTGTGGTTTGAGTGACCAAATTATTATTGTTTTTTTCATTTTTTTCTTGAGGGATTATTATCAGGCATGTGGAGTAAGGAAACTTGCCCAAGGTTTCACCCTGACGGGGATCAAACCCAAATCTCTTTAGGCGAGGCAAGTGCTCTAACCACTGAGCTACAGGACTCCACTAGTGACAAGTTAAGTCAGAGTTGAGTTATCAGGGGTTTAGTTTATACATTTAATTATTTCAAACTGTTTGAATCCAGGCATGCAAATTTTGTACAAGAAACCCTGCAGTAAAAGGAAATGAAGAGCTGGTCAAATGGGTCAAAGTGCCTTCTTTATCTGAACCTCTCATGATCTCTTGCGAAAGCCTAATCTGTAGTTGAAGGATAATAAATGTGCAATGAAGAAACCTTACATATTAATCTCTTCCAGATGCAAATAGGTAAAATGCAATTAAAATATCAGAAATCTAACTAAATTTAGATTTTAAAAAAACCTGCTGTATTGAATGATCAGTTTGTGTCATTTGATCGTCAAGTTCTGGATGGTACCAATTCACACACTATCATGTTTCTCAAACATTGTACAGTATGTACTGTCGCAACTAGCACAAGGTTCATTTGCTAATGTTTCACTTAGGAACTTCAAATACACTTGGGTTGCAGAAAGGCAGGAAAATATGAACTGATCCATGATTTTTTTTCCCGGGTATAAGTAACTATTTATTTCAACTGGAGGCATAAATTGAGTTCCATAAAATGTGTCACATTAAATCATAGTGTGCATCGACACGAATTATAGAAATACCAATGAAGACTGGTTGCTACCTATCAAAAATGTAAAGTTGAATGATTCTGGAAGCATTTTACTCAAAGAGGTAAATTAAGTACAACTTATAATAATAATAATAATAATAATAATCCTTGCATTTGATATAGCGCTTTTCACGTCGGGAGGACGTCCCAAAGCGCTTCACAAAACACACTGTAAAGTGAATTGACTGTAAATTTGTGGGCAAACGCGGCAGCCAATTGCACACAGCAATGTCCCACAAACAGTCGTAGATTAAAAATGACCTATTTATTATTGGTTTTGGTTTTGGAGGGATTATTATTAGGCTCTGTGTGGAGTAAGGAAACTTGCCCAAGGTTTCGCCCTCTGCCTGGAATTGAACTCAGGTCACTCGCTTGCAAAGTGAGTGCTCTAACCACTGAGCTACAGGACTCCACAATGAAATAGATCTTTATATCATAAAGATCTATTTAATTGTTTTTTTAATTTCTTCAGTCATGAGTCTTTTAACTTCTACAATCCCAACAAAATAAAAAAAATGCATGGAACTTGTTACAGATATTTTTTACACATTTCATATGCAAAGTATTTAGCTTTCTTTCCCTTTTGCTCTCCTCTTCTCTTGAAGGCAAAGCAGTGCCTCATGCAGAGGCACAGCCCTCTTGGTAACCTCACACGTGGTCATTCTTCATGTGTGAGCCCTGACAGTAAGTGCTAACAAGCTTCGACTGTGCCCAATGTTATCCTCAACAGGCACCTCTGTGTGTTTTCTAGTAAAAATCACGAAATAGTGATGAGTGCCATGCTTCCTTCCCTCCTTCCTAACCTGGGAAGATCTGGGTCAATTGTAGCTCCCCCAATGTTTTTGCTGCCCTTTAAATAACACGATTATCAAAACTTATTGGCAAATAAAAGTTAAGTACCTTTTACACAATGTACTATATATGATACCCCAATATCCCAGGTACTTAGATAGCCTAACAATGCTATAGTATTAAGCCTTAGAGCACTCCCAACCTGAAAGGCGTAATACAAATGTAATTTTATTGTTAGTTTTGTTGTTGTTGACTTGCGTGTAGATTGGAGCATGGTCTATCTCAGGGTACTGGTAACATACAAATACATTCACATCTGAGGTTGGCTCAAACTCCTAACATTCAACTCTTTTTCATGGTTGAAGATTGATGAGGTTAATTCTAACCTAGTCAGTTCTTCAGACTTTTAACTTTAGATTGACTGTAAATGCAGCTGAATAAAATGACTATTTAAAAGGGGAAATGGGTCGATAGGAAAAGAAAAAACAAAGTATAAAGAACAACACTTAAAAGCAGAAATAGGAAAAAAAAGTAATAAGTAAGTCTCTTAGTGAGAGACCTGAGTTCAATTCCAGGCAGGTCAGGGCGAAACCTTGGGCAAGTTTCCTTACTCCACACGCCTTACAATAATCCCTCCAAAACAAAACAATAATAAATTGGTCATTTTCAATCCATGACTGTTTGTGGGACATTGCTGTGCGCAATTGGCTGCCGCGTTCGCCCACAAATATACAGTCAATTCACTTTACAGTGTGTTCTGTGAAGCGCTTTGGGACGTCCTCCCGACGTGAAAAGTGCTATATCAAATGCAAGGATTAAAAAAAGTAGCATAGATGGAAATGAGATAATTCAGGTAGAAAACAAAAAAACGTTAAAAAAAATTAACAACAGAATATAGGGAAGATAAATTAGCAGAAATAATGACGAAAGAATAAGTAATGTTACATTTTAAAAAATATATATATTTTACTGAGTTATAATAAGAAGAATCCTTACATTTGGTATAGGCGTCTTACACCTCGAGAAGCGGTCTCAGAGCACTTCACAAGGGCATACTGTAAAGTATTGCAACTGTATGTTTTGCAGGCGAATATTAGGATTAATACTAAAGTAGCAGTTAATTCTTGATTCGAGTAGATTTTCTCTCTATGTTTTTGGTCTAGAATAGTGCATGAGCTGAAAACAGGGGAAACCAGTCAACACGCATAGTATGTACACCAGCACTATGTCTTAAAACCATAAGACACCCACCCACCATAGTAAAAATGTTTAAACACCCCATGATTTTAAAATAATAAGCACACTTTCGTTTTCAATAAAAACAAATGGATCTTACAAACAAAACATTCCAGGGGATAATTGTTTTCATAAAACCAGTCAGTTATGCTTGCTGTCACTATTTATTAGGTATATGTTCTGCAATTGACTACTTCCTGATATGTATATTCCACACAACTCCTTAAACATAATAATAATCCTTGCATTTGATTCAGCGCCTTAGAATGTCATTGAGGCGTCTCAAAGCGCTTAACAGAATATACTGTTAAGAGTGCATTTTGTATATTTTGTGGGCGAAATGCGGCAGCCAATTGCTCGGTTTAGAGTTTTGTTGTCAATAACCCCAAAGCTCTGTTCTGTTGGCAATATTAAGCTCAATAATTCGTCCTGACAAGTGCTTACACGTGAAAAAACAAACAAAAATAATAGTCCTTTCATCCCAGGCGGCCATCCTCTGGCTCTGGAATGCACCCCACTACCCCTGTTGCCAACAGTCTGGTTGGCAGACACCCCTCTCCCTCTCCTCCCCACCCAAATGTTCTCTTTCTTTTTGCAACAATGTAAATAAAGGCAGACACGCCAAGTTTCTCCTTACTACAAATCCAGGCAGAGTTGTGCAATTCCTAGCACTGGTAGAGCCATCAGAACCAGTCAAGTGTGTTTTTTGGAGACCGCTTTGACAGGACTCTCTCTCACCATCGAGGGCTGTGTTAAAGCCCGAGTGACTGAGCAGCAGCAACAACAATAACAAACTATCATAACTATAACAATAACAACAATAATAATAACCCACAGACAACAGACTTATAGCACAACCCCGATCATCAAGTTAAACATAAACAGAGTCTGAAATAGAGAAGATGTCTCTCTCTCTCTCTCTCTCCCTTATACATGTTAAGAGCTGGGGTGTATGGAGTTTGTTTTGCAGTTGGACAGGAACAGGGAGAGGGAGAGGGACTGGGACAGGGACTGGGACAGGGACTGGGACAGGGAGAGGGACTGGGAGAGGGACTGGGACAGGGAGAGGGACTGGGACTGGGACTGGGACAGGGAGAGGGACTGGGACAGGGACAGGGACAGGGAGAGGGACTGGGACAGGGACAGGGAGAGGGACTGGGACAGGGAGAGGGACTGGGACAGGGACTGGGAGAGGGACTGGGACAGGGACTGGGAGAGGGACTGGGACAGGGAGAGGGACTGGGACAGGGACTGGGAGAGGGACTGGGACAGGGAGAGGGAGAGGGACAGGGACAGGGACTGGGACAGGGAGAGGGACAGGGAGAGGGACTGGGACAGGGAGAGGGACAGGGACAGGGACAGGGACTGGGACAGGGACTGGGACAGGGAGAGGGACAGGGAGAGGGACTGGGACAGGGAGAGGGACTGGGACAGGGAGAGGGACTGGGACTGGGACAGGGACTGGGACAGGGAGAGGGACAGGGAGAGGGACTGGGACAGGGAGAGGGACTGGGACAGGGAGAGGGACTGGGACTGGGACTGGGACAGGGACTGGGAGAGGGACAGGGACTGGGAGAGGGACAGGGACTGGGAGAGGGACTGGGACAAGGAAAGGGACTGGGACAGGGACTGGAACTGGGACAGGGAGAGGGAGAAGGACAGGGAGAGGGACAGGGAGAGGGTCAGGGAGAGGGAGAAGGACAGGGAGAGGGACAGGGAGAGGGACAGGGAGAAGGACAGGGAGAAGGACAGGGAGAGGGACAGGGAGAGGGACAGGGAGAGAGGGACTGGGACAGGGAGAGGGACAGTGACTGGGAGAGGGAGAGGGACAGGGAGAGAGGGAGAGGGACAGGGATTGGCATTGGCACAGGGAGAGGGAGAGGGAGAGGGAGAAGGACGGAGACGGGGAATAAAGGGAATAAAGATTTAGACTGAACAGTTGGTTCCCGAGACACAGCAATGACCAGACACTCGGTCTCACCGGTGGTCAGCTCGTGCTCCACGGTGCAGATCCCACCCTCGGCGGCGGCGGCGGCGGCGGCGGCGTCTCCCATCGCTGAGCCCGGGGCCGAGCCCGGCTTCTACCCGGCGGGGAGAGAGAGCATGAGTCGGTGACAGACAGCACACAAGATCCCGACCCGCTCCCGGGGAGGATCCTTCGACGGCCGCCGGTCTCTGTCTCTCTCTCTGTCTCTGGGTGCGGGGGTTGAGGAGGTTGTGTGTGTGTGTGTGTGTGTGGTGGGGTGGGGGGGGGGGGAGGGAGGGGGGAGCGCGCTGCACGCTGGGAGCTGTAGTCCGACCCCCGCGGTCCAGGCCCCGTGTTGCCCGGGGAACCGGCACCAGAACAAACTACACCTCCCGACAGGCTTTGCGGGAGAGAGCGAGCGGTGAGGGTGGAGGGGGGGGGGCGAGCGCTTGCCCCGCGCGCACGCGCAGTCCCGCAATGCTCTGACAGCTCCTGGTCTCGTTTTCCTACATGGACCAGTCTAACAGCCCGCGGGAGGGGGGGGGGGGGAGAGGAGGAGGACATTTAAAGGGATTCCGCATCAGCTGTTTTGAAATCCCCCCCAAAAAAAACCGCACGACAGGACCAACGGTCTCGAACTGTCGCAAATACTACAAATGCACAGCTGGTCAAGTGTAGCAGATGGTTCCCTTCGTCCCCCCCCCCCCCTCCTCCCCCCCTCCCCGCACACACACTGCTTGTAATTCTCCAGAGGTACATGTGCAGTTGGTACAGTCCAGACAACATCTGGAGTAAACACAGCACAGAGAGAGAGAGAGAGAGAGGGGGAGAGAGAGAGAGAGAGAGAGAGCTGTTCCAGTAAAGATTGCTCTCCAACCTCTGGCGGGAACTCGCTCACCAACAACAACAACAACAACAACAACAAGATTCCATTTATAAAGCGCCTTTCACGTCAGGAGGACGTCCCACTGGGAACAAACAATCTGCCTATTTTTTTTAATGTGTTTCCAACCCCCACCCCTTCCCCGAAAAGAGACGCGACATATACGCATTCATTCGTACCTTTGCACAAATCAAATCAGCAGCGACTCCAGCGATGCAACTAAATCGCGAGGGGCCGAGCGCCGCAGACGCTGGGAGTTCCGGAAGGGAGGGAAGCAGAAGCGGCTGGGAACGCTCTCGGCCGATGGGGCGGCGTCTGCGGAGAGAGGAAAGCGAGTCGGCGTTTCGGGCCCGCGACCCTCGCCAAGTCGTCCTGGCGAAGGCTCGCGGGTCCCGATACAATGCATTCGTATAATAAAAATAATAATCATAATAATCCTTGCATTTGATATAGCGCTTTTCACGTCTTCTCGACGTCTCAAAGCGCTTCACAGAATATGCTGTGAAATGCATTTTCCGTATATTAGTGGGCGAAACGCGGCAGCCAATGGCGCACAACAGTGTCCCACAAACAGTCGTGGATTGAAAATGACCAATTTATTATTGTTTTTGGTTTTGGAGGGATTATTATTAGGCTCTGTGTGGAGTAAGGAAACTTGCCCAAGGTTTCGCCCTCTGCCTGGAATTGAACTCAGGTCTCTCGCTTGCAAAGCGAGTGCTCTAACCACTGAGCTACAGGACTCCACTATACACTAAGCCGGTTCCAAAAATACCCTGTCTTTCCAACGTGAAGGGAGCTATACAAGTGTAATTTGTTGTTGTTGTCTCTGAACCGATTCTACTTTTCCAAAAATAAGCTGAAAACTTTAAAATATATATATAGATAATAATAGGCCTCACATTTGATGTAGCCCCCTTATCACATCGTTGAAATTAATCAGGTACTTCAAGATTTACTGTGGAGTGTAGCAACTGTGTACTTGTAAGAAAGCTGCAGCCAATTTGCCCACAGCAATGTCCCACAAACAGCTATGAAATCAATGGCCGATTTTTATCTCGACGATTGTTGGCCAAGACACCGGGAGAAACTGCTTTATTTTTTAAACAGTGCCTTGGGATCTTCATCGTCCATCTGAACAGACAGACGGAGCCTTGGTTCAATATCTCGTCCAAAGGTCAGCACCTTAGTCTAGATTTTGAGCTCAAAGCTTTAACTCCCACCCTTCTGACTCACAGAGACAAGAGCGCTACCAACTGAGCAAAGTTGCCAGAGAAAAAAGGCAGATAAACGAGATTGAATGGTTGCTCCTTCACAGAGCCAGTGCAGACTTGACTGGCCTTTTAAGCCCACAATTAGGCTCTTGAACTTTTTTTTCCCATTGCAACGTTTCTTCAATATATAATTTTGCCAAGTAAAACATAATTTCGTTGAAATAGTTATTTAATTTTCACAGTGCTGAAAATTAAACAATTACGGTCAAGTTTGTACTCATCAAAGTGGAAGATATTGGTACTGAGATATAGAACATTTCCCAAGTTGGATATACAGCTCATCATTAATACATTTTCTCTATAACTTTCATAATCCTTTATAATAAATTTTCATAATAAATTTTATTATAATAAATTTACAATAAATAACCGATGTGAAAGGCGCTTTACAAATGTAATATTGTTGTTGTTGTAATCCATCTGTTTTCATCTGCAAATCGTTGACATGTTTCTCAGCATCTTCACTGTGAGACCTGTGAAGCTAACATATTTTGACATCTACCTCTCCTTTACATTCACTGGATTAGCACTCTACTTTCCATCTTGGCTTGCATTTGGTGCTCCATCTTAACCGTCCATCTAAAGGACAGCACCTTGACAATTTAGCACTGTCCAGCACTATATTGGAATGTCAGCCTAGATTGTGGGATCATGAAATATCAAAAAAGGTGCTGAGCCACACATCCAGTCATGCAACTAACGACAACCACTGACAATATTTGGTGAAATACTTTTTAAAAATAGTAGACTCCACTCTACAAAGAGATCTTAAATTTAACCATTGTTAGGTATAATAATATAACAGTGACTATGTTAATATCATTGTATGTTAGTGTGTTTAAAGAGTAAATCCTTTTTGTGAGAGTAACTGACCTGAATTGATAAATACTTGGCTTTGATGCCCAAGTCAATAAACTTGGCAATTGTAACAAAGATTTGGATGCTATTTTCTTTCATTTATTCACCCCAGGCGACATCTTCCCACTAGTTGAGCTACACCTCTAGGTTACACCTTTCACCAAACCCCACAGCCTAATCGCCGTGGCGGTGATGTGGCTCTCATCTCCTGGTCCCCCCTCGGCCTTTCGCCTTACTCCTCCGGAACCTTCCCTTCCTTTGTACTACCACCCCTCCAGGCTTTCCTTCAAAATCCTCCTTGTTTACCGTCTCCCCAAGCTTTCCCCCACCTTCCTCTCTGACATCTCCACCCTCCTATCTTCCCTCTTCCTCTGCTCTGAATGCCTCCTTAGGCGACTTCAACCTCCACTTCACCCCCTCCTGCTCTACCTCTGCCGACTTCTCCTCCCTCCTCTCTTCCCTCAACCTCTTCCTCCTCATCCACTCCTCCACCCACGTCTGTGGCCACCCCCTTGACCTGGTGATCACTCAGGGCCTCACCATCTTGGACATCACCATCATCGATAAAGCCATCTCGGACCACCACTTCATCTCCTTCAACACCTCAGTACCCCTTCCCCCTTACCAACACCCCACCATTACATACTGTCCATGGAAAAAATTTCCTCCCTCTCCCTCTCCACTGCCCTGGAGTCATCTGAACTCATACACCTCTGGCCCTCACTGACCCATCTCCCCTCCTCACTCTCCTTTCTCCACAACTCCCTCTCCTCCATTCTGGACTCCCTTGACCCCCTCACCTCCCGAACTGCCTCATACTCCCATAAATCCCCCAGTACACCAGCCATCTCCGTTCTCTCAAGGCACAAGTGCGAGCTGCCAAACGCGCCTGAACCAAATCCAAACTAACGGTCCATCGGCAGATTTGGCTTCACCGCACCAAGACCTACCACTGCGCTCTTGCCTCCGCCAAATCGGCCTTCTACTCCAAGGTTATCTTGGAGGCAAAGGACAACCCCCGGCTTCTCTTTTCCACCACTAACCGTCTCCTCCATCCACCTTCCCATACCTCGCCCATCCTCTCCTCAAACTCCAACTGTGAGGAGATGCTGGACTTCCTCGAATCTAAAATCGAGGGGATACGTTCAGCCATCTCAGCCCCGTCCACAGCCACCCCCACATCACCTCTCCCTCATGACCCACCCCCCACCCATCACTCCCCTATACTCCTTTGACCCTATCTCTCCCTCCTCCCTCACCATGACTGTCCGCAAACTCAAACCCACCACCTGCTACCTCGATCCCATCCCCACCTCTCTCCTTGTCCACCTTCTGGCCCACCTCCTGTCCAATGTCATAAACCTCTCCCTGTCCGCCGGTTCAGTTTCCACCTCCCTAAAAACGGCCGTCATCACCCCCAATCTAAAAAAACCTTCCCTGGATCCATCCCTCCTCTCCAGCTGCCATTGGCCACCCCCTTCCCTCCCTTCTCCCCCGCAACCCCAGCTCGGGTCTGAAATGCTGCACTCTGTCCAGCACCTTGGGACGTCCTCCCGATGTGAAAGGCGCTATACAAATGTAATCTTTTTGTTGTTGTTGTCAACTTTGTAATGACTGGAACCATTTTGATTTCTCATTGATGCCAACACTGTTGCCAGCTGGTGCTCCTATTACTTATCTTCCATATATAGGCGAAACTGCACAAAAATGATTGTCTGGATCTCTTATCATTCCACTCTCTTATGTCTTAATACAAGACTTGCCTTAGTCCTGCCAAGTACATTTTGACAGTACAGAACATCCCAGGCTATAAATATTCTTTCAATCAACTCAGTTTGCTTAGTGTGTACCATTCCAGATTTAATGCTATGCATTTATAGTTGTGGTGAGCTAGACATTTAGGTGGCTTAGAGGTCATTTTTTTCTGGCCTTGATCTTGTTTCCATTATGCAAGCAGCTCTGGATTGAGCTTCTAAAGTAAATACATTATTTGGCTTTGACAAGAGACACACAGCTGTGTTTTACCATTCGCGGAACTAAAGAACAGCACACAAAACTATTCCACTCGAAAACAAGTAGCATTTTTTCATCTACTGAATCAAATCCAATCAGAAGTGAAGTTGTTATCAGGAGATCATCTTACTTATGTTACAGATTGATGCATGTATTTCTGCCCGAGGATAA